GAATTATCTGTGAATAAAATATAAACACATGAACAATTATCACTTGTAATTTTGATTTTTATTAAAAATTTAAGAAATTTATTTATTTAGTATTTTTATATAAATGATAACTCTATTTTTTACAAATAATGAATATGTTTTCATTTTTAACATATGATTGTAAAATAAAACATATAAACCATTTAAGGTAAAATAAATTATTTTTATCATTTTCAGGTTAATAAAATTAAATTTTAAATTATTTATTTCAATTTTTATAATTATAACTTTATTTCAGATTTTATAATTATAGTTTTCAATGTTTATTAATCTTGTTAGGAAAACTTATTTATTTAGTATTTTTGTATAAATAATAACTCCGCCTTTTCAAATACTAAATATATTTTCACTTTTAACATATAATTTATATGTAAAATAAAACATATAAATCATTTAAGATAGAAAAAAAAATTATTTTTATAAGTTTCAGTTCTTATTAATTTTTTTTAGGAAAAATTAAATCTAAAATCATTTGTTTTAATTTTATAATTATAATTTTCAATTTTTATTAAAGTTCAAAAATGGTCAATATACAATTTCGTCAAATTAGGCATTAATGTGTTTTTGTATTCATGCATATTGGGTCATATCCCTTGATATAACATGATACGACCTGATATTTAGGTGTATCGACATGATATACATGACTAGTGGAATAAATATCCAGTTGTGGTGTATATTATATAGATGGCCATGGATATGGATACGATACACCCCATTATCGAGAGTATTGCATCAATATTTTAAACCTTAAAGTTAATTGCCTATTATATCTCTATCTCTGACCCTCGACCAAAACTGTTTTGTGCGTGGTTCTAGTCTGACAATATTGATTTAAATATTTATCCCTTTGGTAAAACAAATCATGCTAATGATACGAACTGGCTAAACTAGCTGATGTAATTAATCAACCAGGAAAATTCCTGCTATATATAAATGTTCTGAACCTTATTTAATTTGTTTTTTCAAGTCATGTTCAGAATTTGGCACATTAGCATTTCAAAAATCCATGATTATTTTGCTATTTTATTGGCTGATTTTTGAGAAATCAGCACATCGGTCAGAAATTGATTATTAAAATCGATTCTGATTTTTTTGAATGATGTGGCATCTGACGTGGATAGGGGAGATAAAACAAATAATTTATGAGAAATTTAATCAGAGGAATCATCATTCAATCACAAATTCCTACTTAAGTTGAAGATAAATTGCAAGTGATCTTTATCATCATCCAAAATTTTGATCTCAATATAGCATATCTAAATAAACAGATCCTTTTGAAGTTTTGATGGAAATATGTATGGAATCCAATTTAGATCCTCCAGATAATTTTGCATTGTGAGTGAATCGCTGAATTTTGTTGTTTGGGTGAATCACTTGATCAGAGTGAATCAGGGATGATCATTTCATTTCTTCAGTGTCAATTCAAATCCTATCTTGCCCCCACGATTAGAACCCGCATCCTAGACTACACCAAAAAGTGGCCTTGGGCATTTCATTTCTATTTTACAGTGGCCAAAATGAGGAATCTTTCCTAGGCCAATGCCATGCCATTTGCTAAGTAGGACTGTAGTAGGAGAGCTAATGGGTGGTCCAGCCCACTTCGGTTATGGGCTGGAATGGGCTGACATTTTATCTCTTTGCCAACTGCCGATTGAGAGAAAGAATCATTATTTTCTACACCTAGCTATTATAAAGTACTGAAGTGCATTAAAAAAAGGAAAAACGGGTCAAAAACAAGAAGGGATTAGGATTATGGAGGGGTAATCATGTAAACCATTTCAAAATTGGACATTACAGAGCTGATGTAGTTGATCAAAATTGGCCCAGTCTACAAAGAGTAGAATCGTAGACCATTTGAACTCTTTATCAGATACATCATAGATGGATAGATAGTCTAAAGGTGCCATATTCCATTCGTGTCACAAAAAAGCTCAAGTGGCTATAGACTCTACACTCTAAAGCCTATGGTTAGATGAACTTCTAAGTTCTATTCTACGTGCTTCAATAAGAATAAGAAGCAGCCCGCCAATCTGTGGGCTTTGTGTGTGTGTATTTTTTTTTCCTGATATTTGGTGATACGCACCACACTGATAATCCTCTCCCCCAAAAGTCTATGGTTGTGGGAATCAAATTCACATCTATGCTGGAATGAACCAGCTAACATACCAACTGATCCACCCTAATGAACCAGCTAACATAACAACTGAGCCACCCTTCAGTTGGTGCGGGCTTTGCTCTTTAATCTTTAGAGCCAATACTACTAGCCTTAAAACTAAAGCACTGGTAAGTCTACCCAAAGTCATTTTACCTGAAAAAAGAAAAGCTAAACCACTCTGATTCTTGATTAGCCCGTATTGGAAGGTTCCCCATTTCTTCTGTAGCCTTCTGCTGCTTCTTTTAAGTTCAAAGAAAAAATGGAAAGGAATTAAGAATGAAGTTCCTTTCTACATTCTAATAGTTTAATCACATTGCAACTTTAAATGGTGTTTGGTAGCATGGTGTTTTGTGGGTTTCCGTTTAGTGGATATACAACACCTATTGCATTGAGTTGCTGTTTTCATTTACAATGCAAGGTATTTTACAACCTGTTTCACCTCAAACAGGAGTCACCAGACACCGAACGTGATTTATTTTTGGGTCAGTTTGGTGCGTCTTTCCATGTATTCTTTTGGTTGTTTATAAGCCTGACAGACCGAATTTTGGTCTATTCCCGGTTGGTTCATGAAAGATCTAGTCGTCAAAAGCTGGAGCACCGAAAAGATGCAAGAAGCCCATTTTGGGCTGATTTTGGGAAGCTCCAAATGAAGTTTTTCACGTCTTTCACATTTTATTCTCATGTGGAAAGACATGATACTTCCAAACTAGCTTCGGGTTGCTCAGATCTTCATGCAAAAGTTCATTGCATCTTTTGACTGTCGGAACTATCAGAAGATCTTCCCAAAAAGACACACCAAACGGGCCCTTTGTTTAGCTTGGATAGCCAAAGTGGCACTGAGGCGGAGTGAGGCCCCTAAACTAAAACACAACACCCTGATACCAAACACCCCCTTAGGATGTCCATTACACGTGCCTAAAAGTTCATTTTCAGTTGGGTTTGAATTGGCTTCTTCTAACCGGGAATCCAGGCTTTTGCAAAAGAAATTCTGAGAGAACGGATGAAAAGGCCAAGTTTCCCTCCTCTAGATTCAAATTATGAAGCCCACTGAAAAAGCCTCGACAGCCCTAGTCGTGTTAATATGTATAAACACCAACTCAACTCAATATACCCTTGTCCCAATTATTTGGGTTCAGCTTATTAGTACAAATATCACTGGTTGACATTTTTTTTTAAGTTTTTGGCAAAGTCCATGGTGCATCTGCTGCATCATGCAGTAAGAGATGTAATTGGTTAAATGTGCTGGCAAATATATCTTGGTAAACATGAAATAAACAGATTTTAACATGATTGGTTGAAATCTAGATTTAATATTACAGCCAATACTAATAAATACTCTAGTTGAACTCTAAATTCTTTTACCTAAGGGAGGTTCAGTTTGAGCTGTAAGAGCTATGTGAAGCTATGGGTCAATTCAACTCAACCAAACCGCGTTTCCTACTCTGGGCTCAGTTGTAATTTTGGCTCTTTTCCTTTTGGGGGCCCTAGCCTCTCTTAAGGGAGTTAAGATACTCCCCTTCTTTGTAATTAATTGTCCTTTTTGATTAATGAAAGTTTTGTTATTGATTAAAAAACTTTTTTTATGGCAATTTCTGGTTTTTATCCAGGTTTGAATAGGCTATGTAAGGCAAGCTCAAAAATGAGTTTTAAGTTGCCACTGAACTTTTACAATCAAAATGTCAAAGTGCCTATTTTCCCTAGTAGGTTTAATCCAGCACCTACGGGCCTAAGGTCACTCATGAATGAGCTTTAAACTTGACACTATTATAATTGATAGCACATTTTACATGATTCATGAGTCATGACCTAGTTGGATTAGGTTTGAAATTCATAATTACTTTTATTTGGATCCAACTAATCATGAATCATTTATGTGGAACCTCCCTACATCCCTATCAGAAATCTGAGTCTGACATGGCAATACCATAATATCAATAATTATTTAATTTGATGATGGATCAAATTTTATAATGTCAGCCTAGATGTATTAAGAAACCATCTTTTTCTTATTTTGATGTAAATGTACAAGTTGCCTTAACAGATTTTAATATTAGGCCTTTTGACAAAATGACAGATAAGCCTATTGTTTTCATGTAACCAATTGCAGATTTGCAGCACTGAGTCATTGCATCTAGACATATCAAACATCTGTATCAATAGAATAAGCTAAGGAAGCAGTTTTCTTTTTCATTTATTTTAACTTCTTCTAGAAGAAGAAATATTGTATCAATAAGTAAATGCAAGTGTATATAAAGCAAGTGCAAAGCACCTGGACTAGAACAATAGAAAACCTTAGACAACCCAAGTCCCTATATAGATGACCATCCCTACACAGCAAATACAAAGAGCCAAGAAGCACAACTACCCTGCAAAAATAGGCCCATGCACAAACCTAGGCTTTTGAAATCTTAATTTACAAAGGAAAACCAGAAAAGAAATCAAGTCAGAGGAGATGAATTTACACGTTTAAGTGTTGGGCATGAAACACCTGCATAGCCTTTGAGCAATTTCTGGTTAACCATGTTTTATTCGACCTTAGATTTCATTACTAACAAGTATATCTAGTTTAATCTGTAGAATTTCATGGTTATAGATTATATATCATAGGCTAAGGTATGAAGAAACGTTACTCTTCCATCCCTTTTCTTTTGAGATAACTAGAATTTAAATAAAGATGATTGCATGTTAAGCAAACAATGGAGATGAGATTACTGGAACAATTTGTTTTATAAGGAATTTATCAGGAAAATAGTAGGAGGCTGGAAACATCTCTGAACTTTTTACAAATTTTCACTCTTACTGCTGTGGTGGAAGATGGATCCCCTATTTGGTTTTGGGTTTGAAGATGATAACAAGTCAATTACACACAACTCACAATTGAATGCTTGTACACTGTATACGATATAAATACATGGTTTACACTTTACAGTAAACACATGAGACATTCCTTGTGGCCATAACCATCTTCAGTATTTCTAGGTGGTTTATTAGTAAAACCTGTTTATCTGATACTATGATTGACCCAGTTGTGGGCCTCCTGTAACTATGCTTCGTGCTTTATGGTGTAATACGATAACTCAAATCTTCAAACCTTATTTAGCCATGGAGGTGCCTGAGGTGTTGTGTCTTCAGTGATGACCACTGATAGCTGCTAGAGTCTATAAAACCCTACGTCCCAACCAACTATCCATAGTTTGATTGAAACCATGTTGAGCATACAAGAGGCCATGGTTGCAGATGTTAAAGCTAAACCCCGTCTACCTGTACATCTGTTAAAGCCCTGTTCTGGAGGAGCTGCAGATGTTGGATTGCAGAGTAAGCCCCAGTTGAAGATCCAAACTTTTACAGCTTTGCTTTGAAACGGGCAAGGGCGAGGGCTTAATGACTATTGACCTATTCTGGCTGAGCTTGTTTGTCTGTGTCGGAGTGAACATACAAGTGTCTTGTTGGAGCGGGAAATGATGATTGGATAGAGGATATGATTTTGATAAGTTGGTCCCACTGAGGAACGCTTTCTGATCAAATCGGTTGAAACTGATATTGGACTCTTCAACCAGTGTGGAGTCAGAAGGATCATAGAAGAGAGAAGCTGAAGGATGGTAAATGAAAGCTTGGTTATTCTGCATCGGTTGGAGATAATAATTGACGCTTGCCCTCCTCGCTTGAAGCTGCAATCTCTTTTTCTTCAGTCTCTCTTTTTTATGCGCATTTTGGTGACCCCCTAGCGCCTGTGAATTGGCAAACTCCTTGAAACAAAATTGGCACTCATACCTCTTGTCTTCCAGCTCAGCTGTTGGAGCTTTTTCCTTACAAGGCTTCTCCCTCCGAGTCTGAGATGAAACTGTGATTGATGAATTGGAACTTTCATCTCCTTCCTCCGACCCTCTAGAGCACCTTCCATCATTTGCACAGGGATCCACCTCGAAGCCGAACAATCGGAGCTTCTTCTCTTCGCTGTGAATTTTAACTTGGAGCTGGAGGCCATCTTCTTTAACCCATTTGGGAGGTAATAGATCAGAAGAGAAAGCAAGGCCATGTTCTAATGCATCCTTTTCCATCTCTCTCTCTCTCTGAAGATGGGGATATTGGGATCTAATTTGTACTGGAACCGAGACACCTATCAGTTGTCTGATCTCTCTTCAATTTATAGGAAGCTTGTTTGGATCCAATGGTGCAATGAACCCAAGCGAGATGAATTTTATAATCATGAACAGAATAGACGTGCCGAAAGGGTCAACAAAAGGGGGGGGGGGATAGGCCAGATGACTCAGATTGAAGCAGCCGTCATTCAGTATTGGGCTAGAACTTTTCCATATTAAACTAGATATGCTACAAACTCCCCCCATCAAAGGGGATTCAGTCTGTCTAATTGAGGAGAGATCCCGGTCTATAACTATAAGTGTTACGATAATCAATGCTGAGATGCGATTATTCTACCAAATTGGGCATTTAAAACATTTATGGCCATGTAATAAGAAGAAGAGCATGGTATTAGATTTGCTCTATAGTTCCAAAAGTCAAAAAGAGGATTAGAGAGATGCAACCCACCTGGGAGGAAGTCTCTCAACTGTGCAAACAAATCTACCAATCCCACTGTACCAAAATTGAATATAAAAGCACATTTTTCCTGACCACCTAACGAGTCAGTGTATTTGTGCATTTTCTTCTCGACCATAGATCAACATGTAACACGAAAAGCAATAAAATATATGCAAATCATACCTGTGGGTACCCAGTCCCACCCACCACGGGGTTCAATCAATGAGACCCTATGTATTATTTGAAATATTATGTTTCTGTAGTTTGGTGGTTATCTGGCACTTAAAGAAGGCTGTTTATAAATATTCTTTAAACCCAAATGGATCTAAACAAACCCTAAAACTGTCAATTTTGACCATCTTTTGGGAATGCTCTTGGATGCTAAACGAAGGAATATTTGAGGTGGGTAATGATGTAAGCATATATACTAATAGGAGTCTTCAATGAGATCTGGGAATATCTTCTTGGAAGACAAATACCCAAAAGCAGAGGTTTACACTTTAAAGCCGAATTAGGTCATCAGCTTCCATTGAATAAACAACCATAGCATTTTTGTTGGACTTGGGTGGTTGTTCCAAATGTACCCACTTTTTAAAACTTCAGAGACATGCTAGATTGTTATTCCATTGTTTCATATTAGATCCATTACTGGGGACTCTTTCCACCGATAGCTCTCTCTCTCTCTCTCTCTCTCTCTCCAACTGTTTCTATCCTTTTTAATATATATAAAATCTGGTTTCTTGCTTAGGGGAAGAAGTCCAAGTAGCCAATAACCATGCTAAGTCATCAAGCATTCACTGTCTTGATATGCGGAATCAGATACCGTCTAGGGGGGAGAACCCGATTGTGGTGGGTGGTTCACATATCCTCCGGAGGATAGTAAGGATGCCAAAATTGACTTCAGATCCCACGAGATGGAAATTGTCAAATTGAAACCCCTCTCCCCCCTGTAACCAGTTATTTATTCTTTTATGCGTTTGAATTCAGTAATGCAACAGTATTTTGATAGAGGGCAGGGTTGGTCGGAGGTTACTTTTTTCCGGTGAACCCCTTTCTTTGCACACTTCACGCAGAGCTTGCCGTGGGTCACAAGCAGACAGTTGAGATCAAACTTCAATTCGTTTGGAATCCGTTTGTTCAGATGAAGGTATGCCTTTTCCCTATCAGCACTCGTGGGTACCCAACCCATGGCCTTTGAAATCCGAAACACCTGTATTCCAGTTATGCATAATTAATTATTTAAGGAATCCGAGGATAGATAAACTTTTGTGTGAGAAAGGCTCTAAGAATATTTGTAGTTTTATACTCACGTGTGTGTCCACAGGGAAATCATCTTGCTGAAGATGGAACATGAGAACACAAGCCACCTGTCATCCATTTTGTCAACTTTCACATATCTAAACAATTTAGAGCAGAAGAATATATAATTGAAGATAGCATTACAATAATAATGTTACTTGGGGAAATTTTCTTTAATAAATAATCTTCAAGTGGTAGTGGAGTTTCCTTCTAAAAGAGCATTTGAAATTTGAAATTCATAATTGACAATAAAAAAATGCACATGATTGCTTTTCATCCTGATGAGGCAGGCAAAAAAGTTCAAGCACTGACAAAGTCAAATCCAGGCAAACCACATTCATAAAAGTAAATGCTGAGGGCAAAACGGCACAGTGCACAAGTCATCCATTGTCAATAGGAGCTATGCATAGAGAAGTTCTTGAGCTTGTCATGTGGTAACTGGTAAGATCATCCGTCAAAGGAATCTTTCACCATATCTGGTGGTTAAGGCATCCGAACTATAAATCCAACAACTTTAAATTATGTACGACAGGAATCCATTGGGAAGCAAATTGTACTTAATATAGTATAGAAAACATATTTAACAAACCTCCAAAGATGCTTGTATCAAGAGACTACCAAGTTACAATATTAAACAGCTCTTCTGTCCAAACACTGCCATGATGCAAGCAAATAATTGGTGCTGCATAAATTAGCACAGCTTCAACAGAGTGGATTGCAGAATCCCGGTGTTAAAAGCCATGAGTTGCTTTTATAAAGGTAGATCCTGCATTATTTAGCATTTTCCAATCAGAAAGAATAATGTAGCTCTGTTTGCCAGCTCTCCAAGAATGTAACTGGCCAAACAATTATGTACATAGAAGGCATCAACCTAAATGTTTGAGAAGCAACAACTGACTGAAAGAAACAGTCATAGGGCAAATGTTTGTGATATAAAATAATTGGCTACTTCCTAACAACTTGGAAACTTGCAAAGTTCCGTTCAGAAGTAAACTTTATGATCCAATTACATTGCACATCACTGTTTCCCCCAAAAGGATTGTTTTCCAGATTTTTTTCCTTATCTTAGAACTTCACAGGCAGCTAATTTAGAGCTTACATGGGATCAGCTACACAAATCCCTTTTTTTTGGATAGCTGCATAAATCCTGTTTCATCAATGCATCTGTGAGACAAAACCTTTGTCAAATTGTTAATTATCAGATCCTTTCTTGCTGCATCAGCCTATGTTCTCAGTCTTCCTGTAGCTCTTTTAGATCTCCTAAATTCCCAAAAAGTGCTTTAGGTATCAATTTGCTGCTTGGTTGGTTTGTTTCTCCTACTATAACAAAAAACAATCTGCCTAGTTTATTAGGGAGCAAGTTGGGGTTGATCTTAGTTGGGCCTAAAATGGATAATACTTTCAAATACCATTGACACATGCTTTTGTGTGAATTTCAGTGACTAGGCAAAATTTTCATGACAGAGCTGTGCATTTCCAGAAAAAATTTAAGCCTGCATACACCTGGGAAATTTAAAGGTCATTTATCGACGCTAATCCTGGCCATCCAAGATCTTGAAGGGGAAGACAGGGCACAGACTAACCTTTGGCACTTAAACATAAAGTAGTTAATGAGATCAGAGAACTTTACAGTTCCCAGGAACTAAAACTCAAATGATGGTAATTACTATAAGTGATAGGGGTGCAATTGAATTGAGCTCTAATCGAGTTGTTTGGGCTCAAGTTTGACTAGGCTTGGTTCGAGTTTGAATCTTGGGGTAAGCTCGATTAGTTATTCGAACTCAAGCTTGACCAATAAAAAGTTAGGGTTGAAAGCTTGCAGGTCTGCCTTGATATTATAAAAATATCATATATATCATACATACATACATACATACATACATACATACATACATACATACATACATACATACATACATACATATATATATATGTATATTATATAATATAAGAATATACTATATATTATAAAAATATATCATATATTCATAAAAGATAAAAATATATTCATTTTCGAGTTTTCACGCCAAACTTGGGTTCATTGAATATTTAATCAAACCAAGCTTATACCAGAAAATAGAGTCCAAATCGAACTCGAACTAGAGCTCAAACCTAGTAGTATTTTAGTCAAGCTAAACCAAGACATGCCAAAGTTCAGTTCAGTTTGGCCCAATTACACCCCTAATAAGTGATGTTCATGTATAGTCTTCAGCTTCTTTCAGAAACCAAAATACTAATGCCATGTTGAACTTGTTTTGACATTGATTTCTCCACCTTACCCTCATCTTAATGAACTGGAATACTCGAGCACATGTGCTATCTCTGGGAGCAATCAGTTTTCAAATAAACTAGTGCACAAGCCAGGTCTCACCAATATGGGTGCAACTTAAGCAGGTTGGGTGTGATTGAGGATCAACCCATAACCCAATTTCAAAGTAGAACGGATTGAAGATATGCACAAATGCATCTCTATCTCTATGCTATCTCTATCTATCTATCTATATGCATTTGCACATATTTGTACATGGGTGAGTTTGGGCTAACCATATACATATTGTAAATAACTAAATACAGTTTAGGTTGTACATGATAGTGTAAATATGTAAATATGTACTATAGATACATATATACACGTTGTAAACAAACAATATAGACATCTATGTCATACAGTGTTGGCCCAAGCCCAACCCAAATATGGCCCGAGTTTTCTGGTCCTGGCCCAGCTGGGAGCCCAAAAATTCAAATCCAAGTGACCAACTCGTGCAAAAACTCAGGTTGGGTTGGGTTGGGCCCGCCCAAGTTGCAGCTCTACTCACCAACAGATCAATGAAGCATATTTGCTAAAGCTGATGTTACATGCAACTTTGTTAAAGTAATTGATTATTCATCATCTTATCCACCAACTGCCAGGTTAATAACCAGGACAGATCTGATATATCTAAAATTTGATAAATAAACTGATTAAGAGTGGTGATGTAGAACCAGCTAATTTGATACGAAGCTAATATTGGAAAAGTTCAACTTAAGATGGGTATATAGCGCTAGGCAAAAGGCTTAGAAACCAAAGCTAACATAATTGGGTCAGTCTAGGTACAGAATTTTCTAATGAAGCTGAAAGCTAAATTACTGTAGCCGAGGTAGCAGAAAAGAGAAGAAGAAGAAGAARAGATGCAGGAATGTCGAACTATCTACTCAGTCGACAGTACTATTATTTATATTATGGTGTAGTACAATGATACAGGAAGTTACTAGAATGCCCCTGATTAGTGATGGGACACTCAGA